GAAATGATGGGAAGGGGACCTGCATAGAGGTGGTGTCCCCCACCAGCACCCCAGGTTGGAAAAGACACCTCAGAAGAATCCGACCAGGACATCTGCTTGCGAGGTTCAAGGTGCCTCTTCCTGTATGAGGAGACGAGTTTCTGCTTCTGTGATGTTACTCTTCAGCCTCCAACAGAGCGTTCCCAGCGTTAAGCAAAGTTGGGCGTTTTGTAGCAAAGCTGATTTTGGCCAACTTCGATGTGTAACTGAGGCCTTGACTCCCTTCTTATCCAGACTGTACTGGAAGCAGATTTTCTTTCCAGATCTCCAATACTAGTGCTGGGAAGTGGTGCTGATAAAAGGATTAACGCTTGTATGTGCTACAACAGGAATCAGAGTAGAATCATTGAAAGACTGCTCCTTGGTTAAATGATTGGGTTTGGACTTAAAAAAACAACTGTAGAGCTGGATGAAATGAGTAAGAAAATATTTTTAAGCAATAAAATATGTGACAAAGGATGGGGAAATGCTGGGGTTTTTTATATTTAAAGAAAAAATGGTAGTGTGGATTACAGTTACTAGTACAGAAGTACGAGTTACCTGGAGAAAACAGTATGAGCCAGCAATGGCTGAAAAGGGCTGGAAGGAAACGTTAACCAGTGCGGAGATCCTCGCTACAGCACGATTTCCCTGCCCATGCAGTTAAGTTTGAGTTGGCAGTTATGGTAAGAATGATTGCTGTCTTAATGGAGCCAAATAAAAGGATGGAAAACAAACCCCATGAATAAAACGAATAATGAAACATGAATTTTGATGTGACGAGATTTTAACATTGCACTGTAATATATCACTAGGGTAACTTTTTTTTTTTTTGAGTTTCTGTATCTTTTATAAAACTGTTTCACATTAATCAATGAGTAACAGGCTGGCTATTTTGTTTCCTGAAGTCAGCAAAGCAGTGAACAGGAATCAAGGGGCTGACAGGAACCTCACCGAGTTCAAAAAAGGCAAATGCAAAGTCCTGCAGTGGGGATGGAATAACTTGATGCACTTGTGCAGCCTGGGCACAGACTGGCTGCAAAGCAGCTTTGCAGAAGCTGATCTGGCAGTCTTGAAGGACGAGTGAAGATGAAGGTGTCCAACCCCCTCCTGGCCTCTGCTAGAAGAGCACAGATGAGCAGCAGCAAGGAAGGCAGTACCTCTTATCTGATCAGTACTCCTGAGATGTCAGCTGGAGTGCTGTGACCAGTTCTGGGCTCCTGAAGGCAAGATCGGTATGGGAACAAGTCCAGACACCAAGATGATCAGGAGGTTAGAGCACAGGAGCCTTCCAGGGGCCTGGGGGCTAGGAAATCAGCTGTGTAATGGAAGGGGCTAGAGAAGATGGGGCCAGGCTTACCTCAGAGGTGCACAGTAAGGAGGAAGTCTTGTATAATTTTCCATCTGTGTGTGTTGTGTTATACCACTAATAAAAATAGTGCAAGTCAGTACAGTCTTGCTGTCCTTAACTAGTCTCCCTACACTGTGGAACTATGGGGAGTTCCTACGAACCATTGTTTCAGGAAGGGTGAATGCAAGGGACCCTGTTGGGGTGGGGGGTGTGTGTGCAGTGATGTTCACTTGTGAGGTAGGGATTTTCATCTTGCTGTTTACAGAAATAAAACTTGAATATTAAGACAGTAGAGCCAAGAGATCAAGGAAAGCATAAGAAATTTCAAATGCACATGTCCTGTCTGAACTTTTCCAGACAGGATGTCACAAGCAGCTCAATAAACTTATTGTCAGAAAGTGAATGTTTGTGACACAGGATCAGGATGTCACCCCATGGGTCATACTGTCCTCCAACTCTGCTTGAAAACATTTGTGCTGCTGGAACATGCCCAAACAGTTGTGATGAATCCAGTTTCAGAGCAGGCAGGAATCTCCATGCGCATGGCGACTGTCTTCAGTTCCCATGCATAGGGTTGTGGTTGTCTTAAAAACAGAGCTGTGCCTACCATTGTTTGAGTGGCATGCATGGGAGGAGCCAGGCAAGGTTAAGGTCTGACCCAGCTACTATAAATGAGACTGTGCCAACACTAACCCCAGAAGCATTCCTCACAATTCAAATAATGTAGGAAGTATTACAGAAATTCTTGAAAAAAAATCCAGTTTGGAGGTACCCTGCACAACAGCTGAGACTTGGCTGTGGAGAAAGAAAAAAAGAACCATCTTCTGCCTGCTCCCTTCTTCCTGGCTGCTTTATTTGAAGTGTTCAAGGTTTTATTTTTTTTTAAGAGACCCTTTTTAACCTTAATTTGTTACTGCTGCCTCTGTCCTGTTCAAATTTGTATTCTGTGCTGTCTTTCATCTGCTTTTTAGGAAAAAAACCCAGACACCTAACATTTGCCTTTGAGTGAAAGGGAAACATTTAAGGCAGGTTCAGAATCTGAAAAATATTTTCCCCATTTCTGTGGGGGACAGAAAAGCTGCAGAATTTTCACAAGTCAGGACTGAGTGATGGCTGTGCAGTGCATGCCCATGCTGCACCAGCAGCTTAGGAAAATGTGGCCTTTGTGGTTCTCTTGCCTTGTTACAAGGCAAGACTCCATTAGAGCTCCACCTTACAGAGGGAGACTCCAGCAAAACTGAAGACCCTGTGTGATTCATTCCTATCGCCATGCCATCTCAGCTCCCATGCTGCTGGACTGCCACTGCTCTGACAGCCTGACGTAAAGGAAAAATATATTACTGGCTGTTTTCCAGTATATGGGAAGGCAAAGGGTGAGAACAGAACTGGAGCAGGTACAGACGGACAGAACATTTGAGGACTGAACAATCCCAGCTAGCCAAGATGGCAGCTGCGTTCTGTGTGGTCTCTTCCATCTATTGAAACAATCTTCCATCCAGTCTGATGAAAAACCATCTCATTTTTGAAAATGGGTGCAGAAAGCACAGAGAATCTGTGATAAAGTCAGCTGCATCACCCAGCAACCTTCAGGATCTGTGAGAGAAGCCCGGAACACAAGCACTGATGATGTAGCAGGGAAAGATAATGAATCCAAGCCTCCAGAACAATTCATTGCCACTGCAGTTCATAGTAACTGCAGCTGCTTAAGCCTTGCTGAGTGATGGAGAGCAGCAAGAAAAAACTGAGCGAGTACTTCAAAGGTATTTCTCTACTGTGCCTAAGGAATTGCTTTTATTGTAACTACTTCTCTTTGTCCTTTGTTCACCAAAACTTTTTTCTTAGCAACTGGATGAAAACCATATAATAAAATCAGACAAAGAACAGCTTCAAACATCTTTTCATATGCCTTTTGTGCATCTTCAGTAGGAATTCTGAATTTATATTGCCAACTGAAAGATGGCTGCCAAATCCATTCCTTAATGAAAGCATCATGAACCCAAATTTTACTATGTCCTATAGACCTCATCCCTCTCTCCAAAATGCCTCAAAGGAAAAAAAAAACCACAAACCACCCCATCAAAACAAACCCCCAAAAATCAGCCTTTGACAAACTACGTGCTATGTCAACTCCTGAAGCATCACTAGATGTTTTTAGTTCGACTGTACAACAGTTCCTAAATAGCATCTATATTATATGGACATTTGTTCTAAAACCTTTTGTCCTCACCCTGAACGCCTGAACATTGACCACCAGCATGTGCTGTACAGAGCTTACCGCACATGCACTGCACTCTTAGGTGTACAACGCAGGAGTAACTTGGGAAGGAGAAGCCACAAACATGAGAACTGTCACTCCGACACAGGAAGCATGAACGTACCCTTTCCTTCGTGCATCTTCCACGTCACGCGCAGTGACTAAGAAGAAGTAAGAACTACACAAAGTCACAAGTGCAGGTCGTGACGTACCTGACTCTCAGCCGGTGCTTTTCATGCATTCCAGGTGCTCACACTTCACAAAATGAGGTATCTCACATATTTCAGAGAGGTGGAGGCAACAAGTCTGTCCAACACCCAGACTTGCTTGCACAAAGATAGGCGACCATTCCAAAGCGAAACAGACGAGTATTTGTATGTCACATTGCTGTTCTAGTTTTATATAGCTTCATGGGACAGTCCACAAAAATGAAGCAGTGTGCTTTGTTACTTACTCATTTGGCATCTCTTAAATATGAAAGTTTTAAACTTTCAAGAACCAAAAATTAAATTAAAACTGGTTAATTGAACTTTATATTAAAAAGTCACAGTTCTTAAAAGGATACTTAATACATCTGCACCATTTTGATGGTGAGCACTCAAATACTTTAAGAATTTATCCACAATAGTTTTGCTAATAAGATAGGCACATAGTGGCATGTAAACTACATCTAACAACCAGAACAGCAAAGGCACAATCTGGATTTTTTTTTTTTTCCTTTTTTCTTAAACTTTTCAAGACAATGGTTAATTTACAAAGAAAAATATTCCATACTTCATGCAGAAGTATTACATTTGTATTTTATAGCACAGGACCATTACAGAACTGCTGTCATCTGATAAAATGGGTCATTTAAATAATAATAATAATAAAAAATGATAGCAGCTCTTTGCACTGAGGAACTGAATTTCTGAATTAAAGAGCAATACATGTTCTCATCTGTCAGGATGAGAACATCTGAAATCCTCTATGTATCTTCTACGTCTACAGAAAGCATTGCCTGCACATTTAAGGTAGTTACAAGTTTTCAGGTTTGCTATTTTCAGCTTGTATTTGTTTTCCCAGACATCACTTGACTAAGAACTCAAAAATTAAGATGTCTGTAGAACTATCAGTTGCTTCTCTAATACAAAAGTAGTAGTTTTAAAACAATGATGTACCTAGGAACCTGACTTGTGATCCTCTGAACTGAGCCTACTCAGATGTCTTTGTTCACATCTGCAGACCGAACTGTGTGTGTGTTCAAAGGGAATCAGTCCAAGCCTGACCACCTTCCCATCGGGAGACACAGCAAGCAAAGTTTCAAACCAGAACACAGCCCTCAGCAATTCAAAGTTAAATCTAATGCAGTGACTTCCAAGTGTAATAATTTCTCCCCACGGCTCCAGAATATGACAGTTCTGCATTTTACAAAGAAACATTACAGTTAGAGTAAGTAGAAAATTTTAGTTTACAAATGGAAAAGATCTCTCTATTAAAAAAGACAATTACATAGTTACCTTAAATAGTTCTTATATGCACCATTCCACATTGTGGAAAAGCTGAAATACGCAGTCTGGACGCCGCAAGAAAAACAGGATTATGTGTATTGGCACAAATACTTACATCTACATCTGTACAAAGTAAAAAAAGCCAACAACCCTGTCCCACCAGCGCAGTGTATTGAACTGCTCTCCAACAGACGCCTTCCTATGTGACTGCCAACGAGGGACAGTGAGATGGGAACTTAAGTCTTAAGAGCGTGGTGCCAAAAAGTTCCAAACTGCTTGGTCAGTCTCTGAACAGAGGAATCAGAAGTATATCCAAAAAAGCATCAGTCCACTCAGCATGCTCGCAGCTGTGAGGTCACTGCAACTGCACTCGGTACGCGCCTATTAGCAGCTTCACCTGTGAAAGCAAACAAAGGTTTCACATAAAGATTGTTCATGTGTAACTGCTCTGTTAAACACTTCTAATATAAGGAAAGCAGGAAAAAGGTATACAGCTGCTAGTGATTGATTGACAAAGACAAAAAAAAGGAATTTACAATCTGTGTTTAATAACATCAGTTTATAGCAGCCCTACTGAAACAGGAATGGCTTGTAAAAGGACTCAAGTAGAATACTACTGCGTCAGATGGTGTCTACACAAGTTAGCCCTACCTCTGAACTACACGTACACATAGACTTTAGCTGAACAGGAGTTCAGTTTTCTGCCCCCCTTTTTTTCTTTAAAAAAAAAAAAGCACAACAAAACATTTAAGACTGTAAGTTTTAAATTTCAAGATCTAGAAAATTTACTGGTGCATCTTCCAAGGATAAAAATAAATGCTACCACAACAGGATCTGTTATTCATCTTGCAATATGTAGTGGGACTACTGCCCAAACCACCTGGAAAATACAAGCGACTACACACACTATTTAAAAGCAGAATGTGTATCCTAGTAAATACCTCCAAGTTCTCCTAAACACACAAGCAAAAACACCTGTATGCAAAAGATAACCAACACTCCATGTGTGTTATTCATTAAATGCACAATATAGATGGCGAAAACGTTTAGCTGTAACGTTTAATAATGACAGAACTAACACCTTTGGCAATGTTCCTAAATTTTGGCAGTGTCATCAGATGGAGCTGTAACTGATGGGAACTGGGATGAGGAGACAGTGGGAAGTCCTTAGTTTTACATTTGCAACATACAACTAGGAAGTATTTAGACTATGGAAGTTATTGCACAACAAATTAATATACACATTTAATTTTGAGAACATTTTGTACCTTGGCAGTAGGAGCTTCTGCCAACCGTATAAAAAGCTTGTTAAGGCCTGCAGTAGGGCTGAAGGAATAAATAAAGTGACTATCCTGAAAGGAAAAAGAAAACGGACAAAGTTAATGGCAGGATACGGCTGAAGTGCTATGCCAGTGGACTAATAGTACCATACATTTTAACTATGCATTTTTTGAAAGAAAGTTGTGTATACTGCAAAGAACCTTTGGTGCAACCACAGAGAAAACAAAAGGACTTGAAAAAGTGTGCACAGTGATGTAATTAATAGATGAAAAAAAGTTATGAAAAAATAGAAATTAATAACTAGAAATATGAGGCAGGTTGTTAAAACAAGGCAAAGTAGCTTTATGTAAGAACTTGTGTTAAAAATTTGAGAGGCTAGGTGAATTTGAGAAGTGAAACAGGTTTAAATTCAGCATTCTCGCCTGCTCAAACCCTCAGTTCTGAAGTCACAGAATCACAGAAGGATTGAGGCTGGAAGGTCATCCTGTCCAACCAAGCACCAGCTGGTACTCAAACAGGGCCACCTAGAAGCAGGTTGTGCAGCACTATGTCCCTGACTTTTAAGGCATAACTTTTTATGCAGTCTAGTATACACAAAGTTTGTAGTTCTCTCTATATACAAAGAATTAAGTTTCATTTTAAAAGAAACCCTGTCATGATTAAAAAAAAAATAAATCCTTCATCACAATACTCCAAATCCAAACTAAGGCACTAGGATTTCCGAGGCTGCTCCATAAAGACTATATTATTATAAGCAGTGCTACAGTCAGTTATGAAAAGATTTACCAAAAACACAGGGAGCTGGAATTTGTCATTTAAAACCACAGCTTGTACACTGCATGGTCCACAGAGCCGAGCAACAACGTCTTTACCAAAGAAATTTGCATGGAAAACAAAGAGAAGAACTCCAGATCCTGAAAGGGAAGGCAATTCAGTCACATGAATTTGAAGTGAGATACATTATTTAGAACAACTGCATACACTGCATGTTTGTACACAGACAGGTACATACATATATATGTGTGTGCGTATATGCATATAAAGAAATATAAATATTATATAGTATATATTAAGCACCAATGGAGTATCAAAGCAACATGCATAAATCCAGTCTCTCAAGCCAGTGGATCCCAGCACAGAACACAAGTGACTTGGTCACTAAGTTCAGGTCTTCTGGCAGCAGAAATAATTTTATGTGGCTATGAGAACGGAAAGCAAATGGGTACAGCCATCCTCAGTATGGTTCACCTCTGTGGTTTTCGGTTTAGAGTTATGGAATTTAATGCTGTTCGGGTTGTCTGTTCTCTTGGTAGGCACAACCGAGCCCAGTCAATTACAAATCTTCATGAAGTGCACTGAAATTCAGTAAGTAACAATCTTCAATACTGACAAATGTCTCATTTTAATACATAAACATATAAGGTTTCTTAATTCTATAAAGGATACCGATAATCAAGAACTGGAAGTATTACAGCTCTTAACCAGAAAACTGGGCAGACACAACCACTTTCAATCTTAGTTTAAGTAGTATTTCAGTCACATTAATGTATTCTTTCAAGAAAAGTCAGTATCAGTAGGTATGTCCCTGATATACTCAAAAGGTGAATAAAAACAACTCAGCTAAGCCAAGCATCAGAGATTAGTATCTGGTTTCCTGAAAGAATGAAAAAACTTTCCCAAGTATCTTGGGAATTTGATTCTCGGCTTTTTCAGAGGGTCTGTGGGCAAACCAGAGTTGATTGATGCTGGCTTCTTTTTTATGGTATTTCTAGACTGCACTGGTATCACGACACTGCTGTGACTATACTCCATGACTCCAGCACGTTAGGTACTGCTTAGAAACCAAGATGAACCACTATCAGATTTTCTAAGTACGCTCTTAGATTAGAATTAATAATTTTGGTAAATCTTAAGGTAAACCACTCCTTTCCTTTAACATCTGTCACTTAGCTAATGCAACCCATGAACAGAAAGCAGCTGTGTATCCGGCAATAAAAAAAAAAACACACACCCTCTTAAAAGAAGATACACACAAACTCCACTTGCAAAACATCGCTGCTCTCCCTAGACTCCATAATCAGAGCATCCTTAATGTAACGTACTGCAATACAGTAAGTCATACAAAAACAATTTCACAGAGTAGATACTTTAAGACACACTTACAAGGCCGTTTCTTAATGCCCTGTTCTACCTTTTCCTTTTCATTTTCTAAAACCCAAACAAAACCCCACTACAACAACAAACCCCCTACCTTCTGGCACATTTTGTGGCGGTTTATAGTGGAAATCCGTAGAAAAGTCTGGCCCTTCACAGAGACGATGACACGCAATTGGAAAGACTGGCTCCAGCAAAGCAAGACGAGCTTCAAAATAATCCCTGATGGTATCTTCTGCTACTCTGGTGAGCCTAAAAAGACCAAACATGTGAGGCCTGCACTTCTCACAGTAAAATTACTCTACCAGACAGACTTACTGAGAGCTGACGCAAGAAAGGATTCCAGATTACCTTTTTGGATTCCCAATTTTCAGGAGTGAATGCCTTCATCACTTCATCATCATTTATGCATAGGTGAACCCCAAGTCCCAATACTTTGTTAACAGAACATTTTACCAGTGATCTGTTTGTGAAATTCATCTATTGGGTCCACAAAATAAAAAGCTGAAACAAACGCACTACAACAGATTAAAAAAAATTCCAACTAGCCACATATTTTGAAGGCTCTTTATGTAGAAAGATGTCCCTGAAACATCAATATGTACCTAGTGGGGAAACAGAAAGAGACAACCACTTCCCCAGTGTGGCGGACTTATCAACCTGACTCCAAGTGCAACATAAAAACAAATAAACAAGTCACTGTATAATTTTACTGGCAATAATATTGGAAAATGCAGTTCCCAACTCAGTGAAAAAGCAGTGAAAAAGCAGCAACGCTCCCATTAAATAGCCAAAGTGGGGTTTTTACTTTCTCTTTTGGGTTGGGGGGGATTTAATTTAAGCGAACAGCCCAGCCTTCAAAAGAGAGACCACATTAACCAACAGTATTTGGCACTTTTACAAGCAGGTTACTACGTAATCGTCTTCAGAAAGCTGTTTTGACACAAATGGGTTTTTGGACATTTTTGCAAGGCAAAGGTCCTGACTCTCTCAGCTTTACAGCTTTTTGAGCCATTATTCAGAGCACACTTCCCCTCCGCGCTTGCTGAGGTTACCACCTGCAGAATCCAAAACTCAAGTGCTTGATCAGAAGGAAAACATAAGAACTGCCACACCAAAGCAAGCCCGGAAGTCCATCTGGCCTAGTTTCCAGATGTCAGACAAAGCTGTATTAAATATCCACCACTCGGTGGATAAAGAACTGGCTGGATGGCCGCGCTCAAAGAGTTGTGGTCAATGGTGCGATGTCTACATGGAGACCAGTGTCAAGCGGTGTCCCTCAGGGGTCTGTTCTGGGTCCAGTGCTGTTCAACATCTTTGTCAGCGACATGGATGACGGCATTGAGTGCACCCTCAGTAAGTTTGCTGATGACACCAAGCTGTGTGGTGCTGTGGACTCACTTGAGGGAAGAGATGCAATCCAGAGGGACCCTGATAGGCTTGAGAAATGGGCCAGTGCTAACTGCATGAGCTTCAACAAGTCAAAATGCAAGGTCCTTCACCTGGGTCGGGCCAATCCTAGGCACAAATACAAACTGGGCACAGAGTGGGTTGAGAGTAGCCCTGAAGAGAAGGATTTGGGGGTGTTTATAGATGAGAAGCTCAACATGAGCCGGCAGTGCGCTCATGCGGCCCAGAAGTCCAACAGCATACTGGGATGTATCAAGAGAAACGTGGTCAGTAGGTCAAGAGAGGTGATTCTTCCCCTTTAGTCTGCTCTTGTGAGACCCCACCTCGAATACTGCGTCCAGTTCTGGTGTCCCCACCGTAAAGGAGACATAGATCTGTTGGAATGTGTTCAGAGGAGGGCCACAAAGATGATCCAGGGGCTGAAGCACCTCTGCTACGAGGACAGGTTGCAAGAGCTGGGATTGTTCAGCCTTGAAAAGAGAAGACTTCAGGGGGACCAAACAGCTGCCTTCCAATACCTGAAGGGAACCTACAGGAAGGCTGGGGAGGGACTTTTTACAGGAGTGTCCACTGATAGGACAAGGGGAAATGGGTTTAAGTTGAAAGAGAACAGATTTAGATTAGATCTTAGGAAGATATTCTTCAGTATGAGGGTGGTGAGACTTTGGAATAGATTGCCCAGAGAGGTTGTGGATGCCCCCTCCCTGGACGTGTTCAAGGTCAGGTTGGACAGAGCCTTGTGTAGCCTGATCTAGTTGAGAGGCGTCCCTGCCCATGACAGGGAGGTTGGATTAGACGATCTCTAAGGTCCCTTCCAGCCTATGCCATTCTATGATTCTATGAACTATGAATTAAACAGTTGTCTTTTTTTGGTGCAGTCCTTTTTGCTTCATCTGTTTTTAAAACAATGTAACTGGAATGGCACATACTAATTAAGGCATTCAGATACATTTTATTTTCAGCTTCACTACTACTATATTATCTTGCCCCATCCCTGGCAGTGTTCAAGGCCAGGTTGGATGAGGCTTTGGGCAACCTGGTGTAGTGGAGGATTTCTCTGCCCATGGCAGGGGGGTTGGAACTAGATGATCTTTGAGGTCCCTTCCAACCCTAACCATTCTATGATTCTATGATCTTCCTTTTTGACTGACAAGAAGCACTGAACTGGCATTGTCAGGTAATGAGTCTAGAAGCTTCCTCAGTTGGCAAGAGCTGTTACTCCCTGTATAATTCACATTACTACAGTGATACCCCACGGACATCACTTGGCATTTATCAATATTTAAATTTCAACTGCCATTTCACTGGTAAAATTACATGTTCAAGGTCTTGCAAAACTTGTTATTCAGATTAGCCAAAACTGATGGTGGCAGATTTAAATAAGAAATAAACTGGAAAAGACTTCACATAGTGAATGAGCAACTGAACAGCAGGTACCAGATCACTTTTATCTGCATGCTCGCTGCTGCCTTTAAAACCTTAACTCACAAGTCACGATTTCCTTCCCTGGGGAGAATCAGCATACTCCATTTATCCACTTCAACTGCCCCTGCTCACTTTAACAAGTTTTCTGTGTTGAAAGATTATTATTAGTTTTTATGCTTTTAACACTTTTTTCCCCCCATTTAGCCTGCTAGAAGAAGAAAACATTCCTTACAGCTTCTGTCTGCTCAGGACGGAAGTTCAATGCAGTGATGTACAATACCTCAGACAAGCTTTATGGCACATTAAAAACACTGACACATCAATACTTTCCTCCCAGTATGAAACTGGATCAGAACACATTAGTTCAGCATAAAATCAGTAGCACAAAGTCTAGTTGGAAGCCAGTCACTACTGGAGTACCCCCAGGGTCAATACTGGGTCCAGTCCTGTTTATCATCTTCATATGACCTGGAGGATGGGACAGAGTGTACCCTCAGCAAGTTTCCAGATGAGACAAAACTGGGAGAGGTGGCGATACACCAGAGGGTCATGCTGCCATCCAGCTGGACCTGGACAGTCTGGAGAAATGGGCTGACAGGAATTTCATGAAGTTCAACAAAGAGAAGCATGAAGTCCTGCACCTGGAGAGGAACAACCCCAGGCACCAGTACACACTGGGAGCCACCCAGCTGGAAAGCAGTTTGGCAGAAAAGGACTGGTGGACACCAGGCTAAATGCGAGCCAGCACATGCCCTTGCTGCAAAGGCGGATAATAGTATCTCAGGCTGCACTAGGCAAAGTATTGCCAGCAGGTCAAGGGAGGTGATCCTTCCCCTCTACTCACTACTCGTGAGACCATACCTGGAGTAGTACATCCAGTTCCAGGCTCCTCACTACAAGAGAGACATAAACATACTGGAGAGGGTCCAATGAAGAGTCACAAAGATGATGAAGGGACTGGAGCATCACTCCTGTGAGGAAAGGCTGGGAGAGCTGGGACCATTCAGCCTGGAGATGAGAAGGCTTGGGGGGATCTCACCTGAAGTGAGGGGGCAAAGAGGATGGAGCCAGACTGTCTTCAGTGGTGCCCAGTGACTGGAGAAGGGGCTATGAGCACAAACTGAAAAACAGGACGCTCCCTCCGAACATCAGGAAACACATTTTTACTGTGAGGGCAATGGAACACTGGCACAGGTTGCCCAGAAAGATTATGAGGTCTCCATCCTTGGAGATATATTAAAAGCCATCTGGACAGGGGCCTGGGCAACCAGCTCCTGGTGGCCCTGCTTGAGCAGGGGGGCTAGACAAGATGACCTCCAGAGGTCCCTTCCAACCTCAACCATTCTGTGTTGCTGTGATTCTGTAATTTCATAACTAAGTTCCTTTAGAATTTATAGGCAAACACAACTTTGCCCTGGAAATGTATTTATTTGTGTTTTACTGGTTTGCACAAAACCAGTTTTTACCTGATGTTTCACTTTGCGAATGTTCCACAAACTTCTCTGCCTTACAGAAGGGATCCCTAAACTTCCTTGTGACCACCGCTGCAACAATCATATGGGAGTGTTATGCTTATAGATCTTAATTTTAGACTTGGTATG